GATTTGTTTATTTGTGCTGTATTATAGTGTCGAGACATTTGAAAAAATGGAGAGGAAAAGAAGAAAGAAAGAGATACAAATGAAACTTCGAGTTGTTGATTTTGGCCGGAAATGTTGACAGTTGGTTAGATTTTTTGCTTCAAGTCTGTAGTATCAATTTTGCCATGTATTTTTATGATGCTTGTTCACAATAATATTTTGCTCAGACATGCACACATTTGAGTCTCTAAATTCGTTCGACTTTGATGCAGGCAAAAGAGGAGCTTTTCAACGGCAAGGACGAGCTACCCTCCGGACTCGTACTGCCAAAATTCGAAGTGAAAGACTTGGAGAGCTTAGACGGAAAGTACAACACAGTAGTCTGCTTAGACGTTTTGATACACTACCCTCAGAACAAAGCAGATGCCATGATTGCACACTTGACTTCTTTGGCTGAGAGCCGATTGATACTAAGTTTTGCCCCAAAGACATTTTACTATGATCTGCTGAAGAGAGTTGGGGAACTATTCCCTGGGCCCTCAAAGGCTACACGGGCTTATCTTCATGCTGAGGCAGACGTGGAGAGGGCATTGAAGAAAGTTGGGTGGAAAATAAGAAAGAGAGATTTGATAACAACACAGTTCTACTTTTCAAGAGTCGTTGAGGCTATTCCTGCTCAGTGAGGAAGTGTGAGGTCAGATATTTTTTTTGTGTTTTCTCTTGCAATGTTAGAAAAAACTCTCGATCTTTTTTCTTTCCTTTTCCTTTGTTTTACGCTGTTGACTTTTGTGTTAGTTCTTGCATGATCTGTAATGTGTATAGTGGCTAGGCTTGTGGCTCTAAACCATTTAATTTGTGAAATTTTGCTGGTGAATATTGATTTTCTGTCTAGTGTAAATTTCGCCTTTTAGTAATTTCATTTGATTGCTATGGATCTGGGATCTCAAGTTCTGTTGGTACAATCTTTTACATTTATTCCATTTCTTCTGTATTCACCTCGAGCGATGCTCATTATTATTTGCGGACAATGATTTTCTTTGTATCTTGTTACTTATGGTTCTCAATGTGTTTTTTGACTATTCACTCTGAAGGAGATATCTTTTAGAATATGTGATATATTGTAGCTAGAATTAGTTGAGGATCTGATATTCATACTGCTTGTTAGTGGAAGCTAAAAGTGCAAATAGGTTAAATAGAGTGTTCGGAAATTGTGACCCAACAATGGTAAATAGAGCATACATATTGAACTAGCTAACTGAGACCTAGCAAATTAAGTATTTGCCATCCTCTTTCTAAGATAATGATTAACTTAACAAGAGCAGAATAAGAAGTTTTGATATCAGGCTGTTGGAATTCACAGCTTATCGGCAATGTTCCCAAGAGCATCAATAATCTTGCCAAGAGCTGCCATTAAACTGCCATGCTGTTCTTTCTGCTGTTCTCTCTCAACTTGACGGCTCAACTTCTGTTCTTCAAGGTGTGCACTCAGTAGATTAGTGGTTCTCTCTAGAGATTTGATCAACGAGTTGTCCATGTCAGTGTTTTGAGAATCTCCTGATGACGGCCTTCTTCTCTTCACTCCCTCTTGAGATTCAGAACCTTCCCAGAAATTTCGGCCTTGTTCTCTCTTGTTTCCTGTGATTTGAGAGAAAAATATTTGAATCGTGGAATATATATACAGAAACTGCACCTGAGGGTTGGCCTGATTATGGAAAAAACTATATTCTTCTAAATATTTTAATACCTCCTTAAGTTATTATAAGCAGCTACTTGAAGGTTCTCATGATCTTAAGAATATCTCAAGATAAATATCGAGAAGTTGTAATTCTGAAAGAGAGCTGTGTAAATTTGTAATTATAGTGAACCTCAAGGCACCTTCTTGCAATAAACTCTTTTACCAAAACACTGAATACTAATATGATAATCAGATGCTTCACCTTGATTTGCATGTGCTGCGTGAACTGCTTGACATTTCATCTCTGTCAACAACAGGTTAAACATTAGTTTTGAGTGAGTCTTTGGGTGATAATAGTATATTCCCCATGCATATACAAGAATACAAGTTTGTATGTTAGAAAAAAAATCAAATATGAAAACTTAATGAATCTTTACCTGAAATGGGCACTGGAGAAGGAATTCCATTCATTTTACCATCCACCCGAACTTTTTTCTTCCCCGAATTCCTCCTTATTTCCTCTTGCACATCCCGTTCGAAATCAGAAAGCAAATCATCCCGATTATTTTCCTCATCATCCATTTCATCTTCTTCCTCCACACCATCGGTACCATTACCAGTGCTATTATTATCTTCATCAACATTTACAGTGACGAGCGCAAGTTGGTACTTGTGCGCCGCATTGAAAACTCCATTTTCCATAACATCATAAACCACTCTGTCGAAAAAGCCCGGAAGCCTTCTCTCCCTTCTCAAATCACTTCTCATTGTCCAAAACGATTCACCCTCCTCACCCTTGTCCTTTACCCCATGTTCCCATGTTTTTACCTTCTTGAAATCGCTCAAGAGATTGCTCCATCTCTTGCGACACTGAACCGGCCCCCGAAAAGCTCCATTTAGTTTGCAGTAGGATGAGATCGCGTCCCACTTGGGCTCTACACGGCCCGGCCCAGAGATGGGGCCCGATTTTCGGCCCTCACGTCCACCTGCCTCCACAATGTTTTTCCCTTCTATTAGGACGAGAGTCTCATGCCGGCTCCATCTAGGATGTCTCGGAATTTTTTGTCCGTCATCATGTCCGTTGATCGTATATTTCTCATTTATGTGCCTCCCGTTCGACCCTGATGCCATTTTGTTTTCTCTCTTTCTTTTTTTTTTCCTCCTGCTTGACAAAGTAAAAGGGCCTGTCTTTTGAAACTGATTTTGTGAAATGTTTAAGGTACTATGCTTATTGAAAGGTTTTGTCTTTGTATAAATAGGATGAACGTATCACTTGTTTCTGTGCTGAGTGGTTATACTAATAAAAGTGGAAATTTTTACTACTAGGCTATCTCGATTTGGTCCATAGTTTGCATTTCTGTCATGAGTACCATACTTTTAAGGCACATTACATTATTCCATTAGGAAATTGTATCTCACTTGAGTGATTGTCCTAATAAGGCGTCATTCTTTTGTCTAGTGACTTGACTCTAGAACAAGCGCTCCTTTTAAGTCGCATTTTTCAGCAGAAATCTGTCCTAGTTATTGACTATCTTCTTAAAGGGCATGTTCTTTATTCAAGGCTTGAACATTGAGAACCCTTCGATAATATCGTCTTTTGATGTGGAGCAGCATTATCTTTTTAAGGAACATTATCAGGGAATTTTCTTTCATTTCTGGCATGATTGACTATAGTTTTTAAGACACATTTCCATGAATCCTCTGGCAATTCTATTACATTGGTTACCGAAAAATCTGGCCTTGCTGATTTGTGACTATCTTTATAAAGGGCATGTTCTTTATTTTAGGATTTTAATGCTAACGAACCCTCTATATCGGCTTTCTGTGTTGACCTGATCATCTTTTTAAGGCACATAAATTTGGATTTGATTCATTTCTAGAATGAGCTTTATAGCTTGTAAAGTCACTTTGAATGCCGTTGAACCTTCCATATCAGCATTCTGTAAAGAACTGTATATCTTTGGATCACATCGAGTAATTTTTGTTGCAATTCGATTACATCGTGGTGATTTCAGTATCTTCATAAGGAGTGTGTCTTTATTCAGATTTTCAATGGTGAGACCCTGAGTATCATCAGCTTTTTACTTTGGGCTTTATATCTTTCAAAGCGCATTGTTCGGTTTTTATCTCATTTTTTGAATTAGCACTATAACTTTGCCAGTTTTGCTATCGAGCTATCAGATGGCTCGGCTTATGGAGTCATCCATAGTTATTCACAAATGGTGTATTGACATGTGTCCTACATTAAATGTATATTGGACATGTGTCAATATATATAAAGTTATGGATGGCTCTATTAGGGAGCCGTCTGATTGCTTTATAAAACTTTTGATAACCTTGTAGGCAACTATATTGTGTAAATGTTCATGCAATATGATTGTTACTTTGCTTCCTAAATTCTCTTCCTAGCAATCGACTATCTTTACTAAGGGGATTTTCTTTATTTAATGTTCTAATATATAAGAACCTTCCTTTATCATATTATTTTCATATTGGCATGCATATCTTGCTTTTCTAGCATCTACAATGCATTGGGTCTAATATTACTATGTGACATGTAAATAAATTCAAGTTGGGGATGACATGGATAAATCTATGTAAATTATCAAAATCCACTTCAATGCAAAGGGACTAGGTCTCTATTTAAATAGACTTAAAGGATTGACCAGGTCTCTTTTTTTGGCTGTCACATCAGCAGGACCCAGTCTACTTCTATCTGCATTGAAGCATATAATTTTTTTTATTGGTCTATTTCTTAGGTGGCATATAATTTTTTGTGATGAAACGAACATTGTGGATGCCTAAAGGCACATCTTTCGCCTTCGATTTTATTTCGTTTTATATTATTATTTGCATTGTATTTAGTTGGTATGACTGTTCCTGCAACGGTAATCATACCATCGAGGTTGTGATGTCAAACACGCTCTATAATAAGAGAGTATTTTGCAGTGATCTCACCTATCACGAGGGCTTCTTTCGCTGTAGATTTCATATGTCTAGACGTTTATTTTCTTATATTCTTGATTCAATTGAAAATTATTCTAATTACTTAAAGAGCAAAACAGATGCATCTGGTAGACAATGCATTCTCACCCATTCAGAAATGTACTACAGTTATACGCCAACTAGCATGTGAAGCAATTGTGGACCAATGCGATGAATACTTACTCATGTATGAGCAAACAACAAATAGAAGTCTTATGGAGTTTTATCGAGTTGTATGTCAGGTACTTGTATCCCAATACTTACGCTCACCTTATATTATTGACACCAAAAGACTACTTGCATTGCACGAGAAGAAGCATGGTTTTTTCGAATTGCTGGGGAGCCTTGTAACTGGGAGTAATAATATTATCCGACAAGGCTCGTATACTCGAGGCGATAATGGTGTACCAACGATAATGCTTGAAGCAGTAGCTTCATAAGACTTGTAGATCCGACATGCCTTTTTTGGACTTGCTGGGTCACAAAATGATATTAATGTATTGCACGAGTACTCATTATTTAACGACGTCTTACACGAGGTAGCACGTGAGGTATACTTTACAGTGAATGGAACCAGTTTACAGTGAATGGAACCAGTATAATAAAGGATATTATTCAACATATGATATATATCCAGAATAGGCAACATTTGTCAAGAGCTTCAAGTGCCCATATGATCCAAAAAGAAAGAAGTTCAAGTAACGACAAAAGGATGCAAGGAAAGATGTTGAGCGTGCTCCAGTCAAGATGGGTAATTGTACGTGGCCCGACGCGTTTTTTTTTTTGTATAAAAAAGATCTTAATGAAATAATATTATCATGTATTATTTTACATAATATGACAACTGATGATGTGGGAGATGACGCAACAAAATGGTTCAATGATGACTTTTGAGCCTCCAGTCCAAGCACGTCAAGACCATCCATAGAATTTTTGTCGCTACTTACAAATAAGAGCCGAGATGTAAGATCGACAAGTCTATCATCAACGTAGACACGACCTAGTTGAACATATTTGGAATGAATCTGATTAACAAGAGTAATAATTTGGTTAATCTATGCTTTATTTTGTCGTAATTTCTACGTCCACTAATATGTATTTTTTTTTCTTTATTTGAAATTTAAAAGTACCTTAATTTTTGTTGGCGTTTGTTCTAATTTGAAAAGGCTCATTTTCACTTTTTTTTTTCGACAACCCATCTAACTCGTTCTTATACCATAAAACTGATTTTTTATACTAAATTAATTCAAGTTTGTTTTAGCGAAAATAACATGTTTACTCCTATCTTGTTCGAGCAATGTTTGTTGGCATTCGTTCTACTTCGAAAAAACTTGTTTTCACTTTTTTTTTCGAAAACATATCTAACTTATTCTTATACCATGTAAATTGAATTAATTCCAGTTTAATTTAATTAATAATCTATAATCATGAACAATGAAATATAGTTATATACAATTATATTGTTATTTTTATATGTATTTATGATATATATATGAAACATTTAGATTAAATAAAAAGTGAAGTGGGGTGATAATTTTAAAATTTTAATAAAAATATAAGAGTATAATATTAATTATAAAAGTAAGTGAAAAACATGTGAAAAACATGTGAGACCCATAAAAAATGTTTAAGACTTATTGTTATTGAAGGTTTATGTGTGCAGAAATAAAATGATGTTTTTTATTGATGTTAGGGTTGTCATAAAAACTCACCGGATTGAGTTACCCGCGGGTAACCCAAAAAATCGGGTCGGGTAGACCCATAAATACCAGGTTGCGGGTCGTAGTTGGTTTTTTTTAGGAGCAATATTCGAATACTTTTATTGGTTTTTTTTAGGAGCAATATTCGAATACTTTTACAGATTTGATTGAAGGGTAAAATTAGTGCAATTTTTCTTGGATCAAGGTTGGAGGCTATGAAAATAAATGATATTATTTTCTAGTATATATTTCCTATTTATCTGACATTTGTGTTTATGATTTTGTGTTGATGAGTGTTGTGGGTGTCATCTGTATCAGGTCGGGTCGGGTGTAGGATAGTAGGTGAGATTCGGGTAATTGAGTAAAAAAGACCCTATCTAACCCGATCGGTTGCACCATTCTGGTATTCAATTACCCGACGGGTACCCAACGGGTAAAACCCAACCTGAATCCGGGTTGTGGGTAATTGGGTAACGGGCTAGGTACGGATACATTTTTTAACAGGCATGTCGGGTACGGATATGTCAAAACTCGTACTCGGCCCGACCTATTTACATACCTACTTGATGTAATAAAGAAAATAGGTTTGTGTATTTGTGTATCTGTTTAGACATGGCGAAAAACAGGGCCGGGTCACGAATCGACCCGGCCCGTCGGGCCACCGGGTTGGGTTTTGACGACTCTGAACCGGCACGGACCTAGGGTCGTGCCGGACCGGGCCCGACCCGGATTTGGACCCGGCCACATAAAAAAATAAATAAATAAATAAATAAATTCAAAAGCAATGTATTTTTCCGTGCCAACACAGACCTGGCCCCGCTCGGCCCGTCGGGTCAAGGTCGAAAAGAACATGACTCTTGATCGGCCCGTTTGAAATTCGTGCCGGGCCTAGACCCGTGATCAACGGGTTTGACCGGGTCGAGTCCGTGTCGGTTCGGTGCCGGGCGACCGTGGCCATGTAGAGATGCTCAGCAGACTTCAATTCTCCTCCACGTGTTCTTTCCTCCTTTTTCCGCGCATAAATAACTTTGTTATTTATTTTTCCCATTTTTCACTAATAAAAAAAGAAAAAAAACAAAAAAAAAAGCCCTAGAACGAAGGTAGAATCACACAAAAACAGTCCCATTCGCTGAAATGAACCTCAATTAACCTACCTTGAAGAATCGAACAATGGCGAGCGACGGGGAGCGAGTAGAAGAAGCAGGGGAGGAAGAAGAAGAAGAAGAATCGGCGACCGAGCTGCTGAGGGACCGATTCCGACTCTGCACCATCTCCATAGCCGAGGCCGAAGGTTCCATCTCCATGCCCATTTACTTCGATTATATGTGTTACCGCGCAATGATTGTTTTATCTCTATTGATTTTTTTGATCAGCTAAGCAAAATGGCATGGAGGTTTCTCAGCCAATCATGGCGTGCATCTCCGATTTAGCTTTCAAATATGCCCGTGAGTTGCTCTTACTTCCCATGATTGCTTGCTTAATGTGTATGTCTGCAGTTACGTCATTGATTATGAGAAGCAAGAATGGGATTTTTTTGGATTTTTTTTTTTTATTTTTATTTTATTTAGAATGAGAAATGCTTATTAATTACTATGAGTGATACTGATGGATTTGCTTTTCTGAATTCTGAGTTACTATGAGATTTGATAGACATGTTACTTGGAAAGTCGAATGCCTAACGCGAGAAATATACGTAATATCATGTCTGTTTGATGAAGAGTTTGTTGCATGGAGATGGAATAGATTTCTATGCAGTGACTAAAACGTACCTCAAATAAAATTGTCTCGATTAATCGTGTATGGCTCGTCAAGCATTGTAGTTGGGGGATAAGCAATTTGATTATACATTAACAATATTTTTTTTGTAATGAGTTTGAAGTGTATTTGTGCATAACATATTTCAAATTGTAAGGGGGCGAACAATTTCTTGAAAAAGTATGATAAGACCCGGATACACAAAAAGTGAGGAATAAATGAGGAAAGGAGAAAAGGACACGAGCACTAGTAAAAAATGATATGAAAGTACACGAACTCAGACTCAACACAAGAAAACTACAATATCCTTTAACTTTTAACCATATTTTATTTTTTTGCTTGAATTTGTTTACAATACATGCTCAAAAGTTAGCAATTTCGTTGATGGGAAACTATGAACCTCTGCTTATATTATGGCAAGTTTCAGCTGTGTTGTAAACTTAAAATGTTGATCATCTTTTTTCTTGAAAAGCAGAACAGTTGGCGAAAGATCTTGAACTATTTGCACAACATGCTGGTCGCAAGTCTGTGAACATGGAAGATGTCATACTTTCTGGTAAAATCCCTTCATGATAGTTGTGGGTTATGGAGTCTATTGCTCTTAAATACAAAACAATCCTCAAGGGTTCGTCTGCAGTTATATAGCTAAACCTTTGTTTATAAGTAGCCTATCAGAGTCCACCATGAAGCTTAAATATTAAATAATGACTGATTATCCCTGTGCTTTTTCTTAGTATCTTTGTAATTATAAAATATCCTGGCACTGTTAAATTATTGCCATGAGTCTTGTCAGGATTCTAGTTTGATGTTCTGTTTCGATTTCCTTTGTTTATTTCAGCACATCGTAATAATCACTTGTCGGGGTTGCTGAGGTCGTTCAGCAATAATATAAAAGCCAACGAACCTCAGTCAGAGAGGAAGAGGAAGAAGACTGCCAAAAGGGAAGACAAAGCTGTTGCAGATGTGCTTCATATTGCTGATTGAAACAACCATTTCTTTGTCTTTTTTTATTTGTTTTTGTTGAAAAAAACGAGAGAGAGAAAGAGAGAACGAGAACGAAACACATTCTAATATACTAACAAAACCAACTAGGGATTGATAGTTTCTTATAATTTGTCGCTCACATCGTAACTTGTTTTGTTAGAAGTATCTCGTTTTGTTAGAAGTATTGTGTCGTAACTTGTCTTAGCCACTTACTAGTTTACAGTTTTTGGTTAATAGACATGGAATTCTAGTTCTGAAAGGATCAGAAAGCAGAGGAAACCTACTTTTATTCCAAATATATGAGAACATGGCAATCCTCATTTCTCGAGGACTCTCGGCCTTCTAGAGAAAAAAATTATGTAAATCGCTTGTAAATAGGCTTATGTCTACCATCTGATCCTCAATACCATTAGGCTGTGCTTTTGTGGTTCCTGGCATACTCTGCTATTGAAATCTCTATCCCTCGCCTCAAATTTGATTAGTAGAAAAATTTCATGATTATTTGCATTTTTATGAATTTGTAGAGGTGAGTACTAGCGCTTCTAAAATCGTTTTATTTGTCTTTGATTCAGTTGAACATGTGTGTATAATTTCAAGAAAGATTTCATTTTGCTAAGCCAAAGAAACGCTGCCTAGCGTCTTTTGAACTGTATCAATTGCATAATCTTCAAGGGAGAAAGGGTTTGTAATACATTTTGGGTAATGTTTGAAAATATATGATTGATGTGGGATGAATATTTAATAATTAGAGCTAATGCATACAAAATAATAAAATAATGTTTGGTAGATGAAGACCATATGAGTTGATAAGTTGATTATTATTACATATGTTGCAACGATTTTTTTAATATATTATTAACTATCAATTAGTATTTATTATTTTTATATCATACCAACTATAATCATCATATTTTTTGTAGTATATATATTCACAATCTCAAAGCCACAAACATTTTTTTCTTTTTTTTCTTTTATTATTATCTTTGAACAAATATTTTTTTTTTCAATAAAGAAAAGAAAAATAAATCTTATGAGTTGCAAATTGCAATTGTGTAATCTCTTTCATCTATACCCTTTCAGAGTAAAAAACGATATAGCAAAATTAGGGCTGAGCGTGGGTCGGTACGGTTTGGAGATTGATAAATCTCCAGAACCGTACCAAACTTCGGAGATCCCAAAATTCGATCTCCGGAACCGTACCAAAAAGTCGGTTCGGTTCGGTTCGAAGATTTTTATTTTTCGGTTCGGTTCGGTTCGGTATTCGGAACTATTGGGGCGGTTCGGTTCGGTATAGTTTGGTTCGGATCTTCGGAGATTTTTTTATTTTTTTAAATTATTTTTGAATGACTACCTAGTTATATTTTAATTTTTATATGCTTTAAAAAAACAACATTTATCAATAATCATCATATTGACGATTTTATTTTGAAATCAATTCTAGAAGTAACTCTAAATTTTAGTTATTTAATTTTAATATGCTTTAATAAAACCAACATTCATCAGTACTTCCTCACATTAAAGATTTTATTTTGAAATCAACTTTATAAGTAACTCTAAATTTTACTTATAACTAAATTTGTGTAACTAATATTGAAAATTTAAAATTAAAATAAAGTATAATATTTTTTTTTCTTAAACAAATATTCTTTAAACTTTCATATTATTTTAATTAATTATTTTATAATAGAAAAAATTCAATTGTAGATCAAGTATTACTAAGCATGAAATTTAAGTGAAGGTTAATATTTATTACTATATTATATAGAATCAAAGTTGACATAAAATATATTAAAGTTGACATAAAATATATTAATAACACATCTAATGTTATAATTCGGTTCTTAATTTCGGTTCTTCGGTTCGGTACAGTACGTGACGGTTCCGTTCGGTTCTCGGTACGGATATTTGTGAAATCTCCAGAACCGTACCAGTTATTTTTTCGGTTCGGTTCGGTTCGGAGAAAGTCAAATGGTCAACGATTATTTTTCGGTTCGGAGTGATTTAGGTTTGATTTTCGGAACGGTTCGGAATTCTCCAAGTCTCATGCTCAGCCCTAAGCAAAACTCAAGTTTCTTTCAGGGGCGGTCAATTTCACCTCCGTGCTGTTTTAGGGGTATGATGAGAAAGGAGGTTTCGACGCTCGTGGACGAGAGTGGTCGAGGGCGGAGGCGACCGCCTGAGAGCACGCAAAGGCGCGAAACAACGCGCGCATGGCCATGGAGACGAGCGCGTGTACGTGACAGGCGTACGCGAAGGTGGCAGCGCAAGCGCGCGCAGGACAACGAGGGCGCAGAAATGCGCAATAGCGCAGGCACGCGCGAATGCATCCCGAGGAGCTCGCACGGAGACAGCGAAACTCGGGGCAGCAAGTGAGAGTCTCACGTGACGGAGCAGATACGTGCGAGGGAGCTAGCGCGAGCGCAAAGGCACGCACGCGAAAATGTCACGCGAGGCGCGCGGACGTGGTGACTAGGTGCGCTAGGACGAGCAGCGCACGGGCCGACAAACGCGCAAAACTACGCAACAGGCAAAGTCGTAGCGCGAGATCACTCGACGGGAAGACGCGCACACGAGACTGTGCGACGGTCGACGAGACGATCTGGAAGACCGGGCGACGGGCAAGCGAGGTGCGGGTTGCACGGCCGAGGCATCATGACTATCGCGCTGTTGGCCGAGGTCTTTGGACACGACTTGGGTGGCAAGTCGGCAAGACTTGGAGAGCAAGCTGGTTGAGGAGCTTCTAGAAGAACCGTGGCTATTTCTTGGAGATGGTCGAATTATTTTAGAAGATATTTATTAATTAGATTAATTATGTTATTAATCTTATATATTTAGTATTAACTGTGAGTTAGGAGTTTTGTTAGTTTGGTAATTATTAGTTTGTTTGGACGTACGTTTGTTTAGATTGTTAGGGAGTTTAATTATTTTGGAAGTCTTAGGATATTAGATATTTAACTATCTTAAGATAGTTAGTAGGCTTAGAATTAGTATTTGAGTCCTCTTACGATTATTGATATGATTGGGATTTCTAGCCTTTAAATACCAATGCTTGTCATTCGATTTATTCAAACATTCAGATAATAAAAACCCGATCTTTTGATCACCAATCTCATGTGTTAGAATTTTTTTGAGTTTTACCATACAATTGTGTAGAAAGAAGGCCCTAAGCGAGCCTTCGACACAACTATCACAAGAATCAAGGCTCTTGGTGCGAGTTCGATGCAAAATAAGGTATCGAGATACATGATCTTCATCAGGGTGACTGGATGTCGGGTTTCGCCCACCGTATGCGATGTCGAGGCCGACATCCTCATCCCCCCTTCCCCCATTTGAGCTTTTTCGTCTATGGTGCCGACCGGTCCTTTGTCGAGTAGCAGCTAGTTCTTCTTGTGTTTGGAGTGGCTGACCGGTTCTTCTTGTGTTTGGGGCAGGTGGCTTGTGAGTTGCGCCCATTTAATGCTGATTCAAGGCTTAAAAAAGGGTGAGAGTTTTAGATGTGGCTAGCCATAGACGATTTGGAGAGTTGAGTTTTTTTACTGGTATTCTTAACTGTGTCGGGCTCTTCTCTGTGGATTATCTTCAATTTGTTGTCTTGGGTGGTCGTAGTGTAGGTGTACTACTACTACTACTACCACTACCACTACCATTATTACTACTACTAGTAAATCAATTATGTTTATCACTTTAAAAATAGGTTTATCTCTTCAAACAAACTTTATCAAACCAAGAATGTGTTGTACATAAGAGAGTGTTCAATAATATTTAAATTTCTTTTCATGACATTTTTTATGCCACAATTTAAATACAAAAATACTTTTTAGAAAACAAGTATGTAATAAATGCTTCCGTGCATGGTGGGTTGATACTAGTACTAGTACCCACCAATATCAAATATTATTATTATTATTATTATTATTATTATTATTATTATTATTATTATTATTAATTTAACACTAGAGTAAAGCTGCCAAAGCTGCCATTATATAGATGCTAGTATAATACCCATGTACCATGCCGTACTTGTTAAGAAATTTTATTTAAAATTAAAATTAAAAAAAGTTTTAATTTTCAATATTTTATTTATATTTGGAATAACACCCGCCTTATACCGCTCGACATTCTATATTGTACTGATTTTTTAACTTATATCATATAATTAATTTGTAGTTAAATTAATTTAAATATTTTTTTCCAATTAATATTAATATATAATTTTATTTTTATTATAAAGATAAATATAATTATTTATTTATTTTTATGTTCAACACATATGTCAAATCGAATATCATGAGACATGATTAATTTTATATAATATACATAAAAAATTGATAATAAATAAAATATTAATTAGCTTTTAAATATATTTATAACTAGTGTTAGTAAATTTTTTTATAATTATAAAAGAAAGATTGGAGAAAATTTTATTAAAACATAATTAATGCTTTTAAGGATGATCATAAATATCCACATATATATGTATATTCCAAGCCTAATTATTTTCTGATGACCGCGCGTCGCGACACGACAATTTAAATTTATAAAGTTTCCTTAACAAACCTCTACTAACTAGTAGTAGTGGCGAGTAAGGGTCGATCCCACGAGGAGCAGGAACTAAATTGTGATAATTTCGTATTAATTGAACTAAATTAAGAAAGCAAATAAAGATGGGGGATTAATTTTGATAAAAATAAAAATTATAAAATAAAATAAAAATAAAATGAAATAAGAAAAGTCCAGTTTTCGGTTCAGTTATCACCCAAATCTCAATCTACCGTTAATTAATTTCGACGCCTTCTTTACAGTGCTAATGAATTACCAATCCTAGCTAACAACAAGCTCTGTTAACTGAATTTTTCCTTACCGATTATTTAATCGAAATAGGCTCTTCGACTAAATCTAACTAGTGGACAACCTAGAATAAGCTCTCTAGATTTAATACACTAGCAGCATTAATTCCTAGGAAAATAGATCAGTCTAAGCAATGGACGCACAAGCTCGGA